AGGAAGAAATCAATAAGTTCTCCCAATGCATATCTAGTTATTTGTTTCACTGTGGGCTGATGTAGATGTCCAATACTTTTCATGGACATGTCTGCTGATGCCAATACATCAACTGCAGAATAGAATGTAGAAATTGGGACCAAACCTACTTGGATTATCATTACAGAAACATACACATTTCTATGGAGACACTGAAGCAGCAGAATTTAAAACATGCAGACAGATATTTATGCAGAGTAGAGCAGCGTCACCTAAACGCTCTGCTGTTCCGGAGCACAATAAATACATCAAAAATTGTTTTGAAATATCAGTCCAATCTAACCATCTGTCTGACGCTGATCAATTTTTAAACAATTACTGGCCAATACGGATATGACTCCCTTACAAAAATGACCAGTTTCATTACAGTCTGGCTGTTTGTCCCAGCAGTAAAATACAGGCTGATTCAAAAAGATTCATCTGATTTCAAAGCGCCATATTTTTACAACCGTGAGACGCCTAGAAACCAATCACAATCCAACTGAAAAAGGGGGTCATAGAGTTTCTGACTGTCAGTGGAAGATGGCTCCCTTCAGTCTGAGAGGAGATGAGACCCCTGAGCAGAAAGCGTTCTGCGTTCTCCAACAGCTCAGAGTGTTCGTCGTGGGTTCCACAACACTGGATGATCTCCGAAATTGCACTGAAAGAGCCGTGAGTGCAGCGACACCCGACATGCTCAATCCAGTATGGGATGAATTTGACTATGGTGTTGATGTTGTCCGTACAGCTGGAGGAGGTTCAGACTGAGACCTTGTAAAATTACATAATACACTATATGCTCATTTAAACCATTTACAGTTCACTGCACTGTTCTGTAATAATTTACAAGTGAAATAAATAATTTTGAATTCAGATACATCTTTCTGAATCACCCTGTACTAAGGCATAGAATGTGTGTCTGGGTTACTCTGTAGTTTGTACATAACAGTCCGACTCCACTGCTCTTTTCTTTAGCAGAACCTGCTAATATCTGTTCTACACTAAGTGCTCACACCAGCACAAATTAATCAAACTCAGAGGAGGAAAAAAACACTCCTAATAAACCAAGAATAAAATCACCCTGAAGCAGTAAAACGAACCTCACGCTCACAAACTACTGCCTACAATAATAAAGCTTAGATATGCACGAGAACCGCATAATAAAGTGTGAACTGATGCCAAATAAAGCTGCACCATTCGCTGATCATTAAGGGGGGAAAAATAGCACACAATTAAAAACGCCACGGATTCTGGAGCTCAAACATGGAGAGAGGATGTTATTTTTGGCTCAGCTGACCCCCAAGCTGAGGCAAAAGCAGCAGCCAACACATCAGCAGAGGTTGGGGTCAGAGCTTAAGCTGAGCCTAATGCCTTTCACACCGACCACGCATAAAGCAGGCATCACTCACTGAACCGTGAGCCTCAGCACTTACGCACAGCCCCAGCTTGACGTCTGACAAAAGACACGTCAAATATATTATTAAAACGAAATATATATATATAACATCTTTTACCAATACTGGAAATGAGCGAGGCATTTCCTCCAAGTAAAACTGTGATTTAACATTTACTTTATTAAAAGATTTTTTCACGCAAAAATCTAATTTACACATTTTCCTTGTTGCCCAAATGTGGTTAATCCATCAGGTCTGGTATCAAAGTTGGCTTCTTTAGTTCTGCACTGGAGCTATGAGGCTAATGTGTCGCAATTCAGGGGCTGCATCCTTCGAAGAATGCGGACTGCGAAGGCAGCAAGGTCTCTATGGCGGATTTCCTGTTTGCGTCACAGCACCGCTGTTCCCGCCCACTGCTCACCGTTATTTTATTTTTTCATTTTATCATTCAATAGAGCTGGAGATGCTTCTCTCTGTCTGCTCTTTGCTCCCTAAAACAAAACAAAACGTTAGCGCAAGTTTTGCTTCAGGCTTTTTTTAAACATTTGTATCGTTAGCTATTCGACCCAGTTTAAACCCAATACTAAGGGTGCCTACACAGTGGACAACGCAAGGACGGAGCGATAGACGCATACGCATGCAGATCTTGTCCGTCTAGAAGGTGTGTACACAGCTGGAGCTGGGCGGAGTTTGTACAGTTCGAAATCCAGCAGGAAACAAAACATTTGGACCAGAAAGAAAGAAATATGGGCCAATCAAAAGAAAATTTGGGTGACGGCCAGATACAGAGCCAAGCAGACAACAGCCACAAAGGCAAAAGAATTCATATAGAACAGGAAAAGAGCGCACAGCGCCGCTACTGTCCGACATCTTGGATTTCCATCTGTCTTCTGCCTGCACGTTTCTATTGGTTGACGTGCCTCGATGTCAGAGTCCATTGCAGCAAAAGTTGAAATGGCTTGAACTTTTTTGACGCACGATGATGTCTTTTCACTGCATACAGGTGTGTTTCTAGTCCGACAGAGCTGACGCAGCGTCCTCACTGCAATACACTGGAGGGCTGCGTTTGTGACAGTGTCAGCCTCTAGTGTGTAGGCACCCTAACATTTAAAGTGTCTCCTCAGCTGCTGTTCGCTCCTCTGCTGACACCACCATGTTCTCGCCACGCCGGCACACGATCAACCTATTGGATCCTTCGTTGCCATGGAAAAGGACGACACATTTCTTGGCCGTGTATGAAGGAGCCTTTGGAATGGGACAGCCTAGTCGCGCCGCTTTGACGCAATCAGCCTTCAAACGCAGCCTCCGAAGGACACAGCCCCTGAATTGGGACACAGCTTACAAGTTATGGATGTCTATGGATGACAAAGGGTTCTACTAGGGATGCACCAGTATAGGAATTCTAGGACTGTGCCGAAATCCAGCATCTTCCATGTACATATCTGTCAATGCCGACGCATAAACATTGTATAAAACACTGACGCTGGGGTAGGGAAAAATGTGTAAATTATATATATTTTGGTAAACTACTGCTTTGACAACTGATTCTTTAAGTTGCTCTCCAAAAAAAGAGGATATCTGTATCAGCACCTGTATAATAAAGTGTTGTAATGTAAATAACAGCATTGCAATTCTGTGGGCAGCAGCCCAAGGATAATAACCATCTATGAGAGGACCATGCTTGACCTGAGGTGGGCAAATTATAGGAGAATACCACTGTTTTTTTAATGTTTCTGCATAATTCAGTGGCTGAGATGCAAACAAAGTCATTTTGAGTGGTTTGATGCGAAACTGTAAAGAAACGTACCACCCCAGATTTCTTTACAGCGGTGGTGATGGGAACCAGAGGTCACCATGTTTACAACATAAATACAACCATTTTATTCACTATGCAAAACCACCAGTGATCCTACGCATGCTTTCCGAATTTTTCTTATATGCAATGATGATTGATTATAGTAAAATAGTAATAGATATGAACAAAAATACACTTTCTTTGGGAACTATTTTGCCTTATAACACCCTTCTTGTGTCCTTCCACCATTCATGGATTAAACTAAACTGATTAAAATACGTTTTAGACCAAAACTCTCATCACAAAACTACTGTAAAACAATGTCTCAGTCATCAAGCAACGTTTTCATAACTATTTAATGTATAATCTTACTGTGAGGGCACTTTTAGAGACATTAAAACTCCTAGACATCTGGTTCCTATCGCCAACACTGTGAACAATGCTGATCCTGTATGTTTCTCTAGAGTGAAGCATTTCACACCAAACCACTCTGAATGACTCTGTTTACATCCTAACCATTTAATTACACAGCAATTTTGGAAAATCGGTGGCGTTCCCCTTACAGAATAGCAAGAATCAGTTCTGTTCTGTGTAAAGCAGCATGTATGCTTGTCTGGATGACATCTGGACCCATATTACTTCCACTTTTTGTGGGCTAATCCTCATAAATAATCTCCTTTGGGGATGAATAGTGGTTCTGGGGAAAATAAAAGAGAAGTCAGTTCCCACAAACTTTAACCTGCCACTGTATATCTGTATACCTGCCACTGTATATCTGTATACCTGCCACTGTATGTCTGAATGGGTCTCTCCTTATTATGCTAAATGCCTGTCAGGCATGTCAGTCTGCCATAGAGGTGTCAACGACCAGGAGCCACAAAACACCTGTTTTAAACGAAAAAGACTGGAGGGAGATGTCAGTTTCTGTCCTGTCAGACTTCTCAGACGTAGAACTGTCATTCCCCACTGAAAACTATACGACTTAACCAGCAAAATGTCGTTGTTCTCCGTGGAAGCATCACCAGTGAAGCCACACAGACGGACAGCATCAGCTAAATCTTCGCAGGGAAACAAAACGAGGCTCCGCGTTGAGGCCATACAGCACAAAACCATCCTCTAAAAGTCACCGGCTGCCCCTCCAACGACTACAAGCGAGCAAAAAGCTCCTTCTCCGCTTCATTTCTACGTGAGAAATCACAGCAAAACTTTCACATTTGGCTATAAACACCCAGCCTGAGAGACCAGGGTGTTAAACCGCGGTCTCGCGCTTAACGGCTGATGTTGTGAGGAGAACACACCGCTAGCAACAAACACTGATAACAAAAAAAGATCCCGAGAAGAGAAATATCACTTCAGTACTTATTCCGAGGGTGTAAAAGAAGGTTAGAAGGTGTTCTGGACTCGAACCGGTCGTTTTTTACCACACAACGAAGCGCCACCATGACGCTGACCCCCACGTCTAGCTATTGTACTAACGTTAGCTACCGTGGCGTGGGCACACAAAAGCCTCGCTAACGTTACATGCCCAATATCGGCGAACCGCATGGGCTACAAAACACCGGTTCTCCCGCTCTCTCCCCTCTAAGTTTACTTCTAGAGCCGTCATTCGTATTTCGAAGGAGTTTTCCGGAAAAGAAAACCCTTCCCTTCCCCGAAACCGTGTTTTTGAGCGAGCCGCGTAAAGGGAAAAAAAGCCCCAACTGCACCTCCCTCCCATCAAGCTGCCACCCGGAGCTAAGCGCCGCGAACTTTACAAAGCTAGCTAACGTCCATTTCGGAGCGGCGGCGCTCACCTTGCGGGTCCCTTCGAGCTGACAGGACAACGGCGTGACGGTCGAGATCGTCCTGGTCGGCTTCGGAGCCTCAGCGCGAAAGTTTTACGCTCGAAAATCCGCCTGAGCTCCTCTCTCCCAGGCCCTGGAAGTCCACTCAGCACAGCGCCCGCTGCCTCCGCTTTACCTTCTGCTGCTGCTGCTGCTGCTCAGCCCTCACTCGCCGAACGGCTGCGGGGTGACGTCAGCGAGGCACGACTGCTCCCCACGAATGCCCAGCATCACAAGTTTTACAAGACGAAATAATATCTTTTGTTTTTAAAGGTGATGAATAGCCAGAGCTGGTCAAAACACTTTGACAGTGAATACACTGGCCTGAATGTATTTAGTAAAGTATTCCATGTGTTAAAAAGTGACATATTCAGAACGTATTTGGAGTATATTTGGAATTTATCGAGGCAAGGCAGATGGGAAAAACTATTTTTTTAACCCTTGTGTGGTGTTCAGGTCTGTGGGACCCATTTCCAACGTTTACCAAAAGAAAAAAATGATGATTTATTATTATTTCAACCTCAGATTACTTCTGTGAAGAACATATAAAATAACCCATTTTCAGTGTCTTCACTCTGTTCACCCCCACACATTTATATTACACGTGGTGTTGGGTGAACCTGCGGGGAGTAAAAGTGTGGAGGTGCTGTGTCCTTCACCGTTCTCCTCCTACATGGCCTGCTGGTAGTGTGTGTTTGTGTGAGGGTGGACAACATGGACAGGCTGCTGACTGGCTACAGCTGCTAAAGGAGAACCCTACGCTGGACGCTTGTGATGTTTTAAACATCTGGTATTTTTACATAAATTGTTATGAATTGATAGGCTCCAGCTCCCCCCTGCGACCCAGAAGGATGAGCAGCTTAGAAGATGTGTGTTATGGCTGTATTGATTAAAAAAACAACCAGACCACTGAGTAACAAACACATGGGTAACACCACACAAGGGTTAATCCACATTGTTCCCCACTGTTACCTGTTCTTTCTTCATGTAATTATTATGTTAATATGTTTCATGATAAAATTCACTTATCCTTTAAATGAAGTTGAAGATTCACTTCCAAAAATTCTGTATGGTCCCGCTCCTGGCCCGCGCTGCCATGGGAGCACGGAGGGCGTGGCCATGCAAAGCGGCCCTGCGTGGAGGTTCTTGGGAAGCGCTGCGTTGGCGTAGGAGTGATATTTCTTGTAAATGAGTTGTTGTTGATAGCTTAACAATGTGTATAAGTGTTGCATATGTTATTCAGTGATGGGCTGTGGGGTAGTTTGTGTGGGTTTAGTGCCTTTATTACCGTCTCTATATGTTATCAGTGCTATAAGGTGATTTTCTCTTAATATATACTCTATGAAACAGTATTGGCCTTTACGTAGATCCCTTTTTTAGCAATTCAAACATTTTATTTCTCTCACCACTTGCTTTAGTTCAGTGTTGTTCCAATACTCCCTCAAGCAGTTCAGTAAAACTAAATTTGTCTCTCTCTAATCCACTACTGAGGAGATAACTGATCACATTGATTTATCAGTCTACTCAGGCTTTAGCAGAGCTCAGTAACACTGAGATTAATAACTGATCACATTGATTTATCAGTCTACTCAGGCTTTAGCAGAGCTCAGTAACACTGAGATTAATAACTGATCATCACATTGATTTATCAGTCTACTCAGGCTTTAGCAGAGCTCAGTAACACTGAGATTAATAACTGATCATCACATTGATTTATCAGTCTACTCAGGCTTTAGCAGAGCTCAGTAACACTGAGATTAATAGCTGATCACATTGATTTATCAGTCTACTCAGGCTTTAGCAGAGCTCAGTAACACTGAGATTAATAGCTGATCACATTGATTTATCAGTCTACTCAGGCTTTAACAGAGCTCAGAAACACTGAGATTAATAACTGATCATCACATTGATTTATCAGTCTACTCAGGCTTTAGCAGAGCTCAGTAACACTGAGATTAATAACTGATCATCACATTGATTTATCAGTCTACTCAGGCTTTAGCAGAGCTCAGTAACACTGAGATTAATAGCTGATCACATTGATTTATCAGTCTACTCAGGCTTTAGCAGAGCTCAGTAACACTGAGATTAATAGCTGATCACATTGATTTATCAGTCTACTCAGGCTTTAGCAGAGCTCAGTAACACTGAGATTAATAACTGATCATCACATTGATTTATCAGTCTACTCAGGCTTTAACAGAGCTCAGTAACACTGAGATTAATAGCTGATCACATTGATTTATCAGTCTACTCAGGCTTTAACAGAGCTCAGAAACACTGAGATTAATAACTGATCATCACATTGATTTATCAGTCCACTCAGGCTTTAGCAGAGCTCAGTAACACTGAGATTAATAACTGATCATCACATTGATTTATCAGTCTACTCAGGCCTTAGCAGAAACCTCAGTGTTTGTAAAGAAGCCATTAATTGAGGTCCTCTTTAGAATTCATCTAACAAGCATGTTTGCTACTTGCCATAGTTAACAGCTAAACATGCATTGATGGTGTTTCTTTTGAATATTCTGAATACTACCTTTTCAAAATGTAACTTGGACTGAATACAGATACTGAATTTCTGTATTCTGAGTATGTATTCCATTACATCCCAACCCTATGAATAGCTCTACACTTTGGCTACAGTATGTGTGGGTATACTCGTCATGAATCCTTTCAGTACTGAGGAGTGAGTCACTCCATAAAAACAGAGCCATTTGACTCCACATTCAATGCAATGTATAAGGGACAAAATCTTAAATATTTTAAAGGGCCCATATCATACATCCTACAGTTTGTCTGGGTTTATGATGCAAAAGGTCATAATTAGTTTTTTTTACATGACCATCTTCCGACCCCTCTTTATCCCTTATAATGAAACAGGCTGTTTTTGTTACTGTGCATTTAAGACTGATATACATGGTGATTCAAAAAGATTCATCTGATTTCAAAGCACCATATTTTTACAACCGTGAGGCGCCTAGGAACCAATCACAATCCAATTGAAAGAGGGGGTCATAGAGTTTCTGACTGTCAGTGGAAGATAGCTCCCTTCAGTCTGAGAGGAGATGCGACCCCTGAGCAGAAAGCGTTCTGCGTTCTCCACTTCAATAAGAGTGAATCCGTCAAAACTGTGCGATGTCATTTTTGTGGTCAGTGAAGCTCCAACAGCTCAGAGTGTTCGTCGTTGGTTCCACAACACTGGATGATCTCCGAAATCGCACTGAAAGAGCCGTGAGTGCAGCGACACCCGACATGCTCAATCCAGTATGGGATGAATTTGACTATGGTGTTGATGTTGTCTGTACAGCTGGAGGAGGTTCATATTGAGACCTTCTACAATTACATAATACACTTTATGCTCATTTAAACCATTTACAGTTTACTACATTGTTCTGTAATGATTTACAAGTGAAATAAATCATTTTGAAATCAGACGAATCTTTTTAAATCGCCTTGTATTATGCTGATAGATTACAGTGTATTATGCCTTGTTCAGAAAGCAGTCCGGGCTGAAACACTCCTTATAACTTCAGTTTGAATGGGTGGGGCTAAATATATACATATATATATATATGTACAGCTTATGTTACACTATGTTTACATAGATGTAATGTTTGCATACATGCTTACTAGAGCCCTTTAAGTTCATCAGTACACACACAACACTTTAATATAAGTAAATATGGGCATTTTTACCTGTCAGTATAGATAGTCATCTTAAATATTACTAAATAAAAGTTATTTAACCATCAAACATTTGATATGCTGTATCTGGTTCTACATTAAATGGCCCGTATCATGGAAAACTTGTGTGTGTTTTTTAGTTTTGAAACTTTGAAACTGCTTAAAGTGTTTTGATGTCATGAAAAACCAATTCATTTACATATATTCAGCTCTTTAGCTCTACAGCAGTTTAGCCTGTCCATTCATGCTGACGTTATAAGAAGCGTATCAGCCCGGATTGCTTTCTGAAAGAGCCACATTACAGGGCAGCCAATCAGATTAGAGGTCATTTACATATTATATCAGTCTTAAAGGCAGAGTAACAAAACAGCCTGTTTAATTCTAAGCTACAATGTAAATATTAATTATTGTTTTTGGTACATTAACCCAACATACGCAAACCCATTGAGTTTTGCTGTCCTTCCTCTCTTATCAACTTATTTTGTCATGAAAATAATGGGCTGTCACATTAAGCGACATCATTCAAGCTTTTAGTGGAGTCAGACTGAGAACAGAGAAAACAGTTTTTATGACTTTTATGACTTTTTTACAGTATTCACAGAAAGATTGTCACTTAATGTTGACAAACTGACATTAGAAGGTGAAATCTTCATCACAGACAGTGTGGCAGCCTGCTTTGCATGAAATATTCCACCCTGTCAGATTCCATTCCTTCTGTTTAACACAAAGAATGAAATAGTTACTGAAGTGGGAAAATCTTTTTTAGTGCAATACACTATACTGCCAAAAGTATTCACTCGTCTGCCTTCACAAGCACATGAACTTGAGTGACATCCCATTCTTAATCCATAGGGTTTAATATGCTGTCGGCCCACCCTTTGCAGCTATAACAGCTTCAACTCTTCTGGGAAGGCTTTCCACAAGGGTTAGGAGTGTTTATGGGAATTTATGACCATTCTTCCAGAAACACATTTGTGAGGTCAGACACTGATGTTGGACGAGAAGGCCTGGCTCGCAGTCTCCGCTCTAATTCATCCCAAAGGTGTTCTATCAAGTTGAGGTCAGGACTCTGTGTAGGCCAGTCAAGTTCTTCCACACCAAACTCGTTCATCCGTGTCTTTATGGACCTTGCTTTGTGCACTGGTGCGCAGTCATGTTGGAACAGGAAGGGGCCAAACTCCCCAAACTGTTCCCACAAAGTTGGGAGCATGAAATTGTCCAAAATCTCTTTTTCTGCTGAAGCATTAAGAGCTCCTTTCACTGGAACTAAGGGGCCGAGCCCAACTTCTGAAAAACAACCCCACACCATAATCCCCCCTCCACCAAACTTTACACTCAGCACAATGCAGTCAGACAAGTACCGTCTCCTGGCAACCGCCAAACCCAGACTCGTCCATCGGATTGCCAGACGGAGAAGCGTGATTGGTCACTCCAGAGAACGCGT